TATTCAATTACTTTTAAATAATTAAATAATTAGGCTGTAAATATAAAATTATTTTATAAATTTTAAATAATTTATAATTAAATTAATATATAAATTAACTAACTCTTTTAATTAATTATAAATAATTAAATTATTAGGGCGTAAGTATAAAATTATTTAATAATTTTAAGATAACAAATTTAAAATAATATATAATTAATAAATTTCATCTAAATAAATTATTAGAGAGTAAGTATAAAATTATTTAAAATAAAAATTTGTTAAATTTAGCAAACTACTATATAGCAGATTAATATTTAAAAAATAAAATTTGGGTTATATAATTTAGCGCATGTGCGTTGTAACGCACCCACCTGATCGACCAATCAGATCATAAGATCAGGTGTAACGTGAAATCAAAAAAATAGCGATGTTTTGAAAAAATCGCTTGTAACTCATAAGTTTGCTTATGAAACCACCTTTTGCGTTCAACAAAAACATTCTTAGCAAAATTTTGGGTATAACTAGGGATGGAAATTATACGGTATAATTAAAATTGTGGTATAATAACCTTGTTATTATACCGTATAATAACTGTATAATACAGTAAATATCTAGAAAGTATATAAGGGTTTGTCACGTGCTTGCTCATTTCTATGAAAAATTTCATCTAAATTTCTATTGGCCAGCTTTGTTACACTAAAATATTATACCAATTATACAGCATTTTATTAATTATATTATACCAATTATACGATTATTATACCATTTTTATTATACGGTATAATATAATTGCCCATCCCTAGGTATAACCAACATTTACTACAATCTAACCTAAATCTAAATTAGTGCTAACCCTTACCCTAAATTAATGTCTTGTTGGTTTGTTTTGATTTTACGTTACACCGGATCTTATGTGGTGCGTCACAATGCACCCGCGCCAAATTATAAAATTCTTAATTAAAAACTCAAGATTAGTTTAACAAATTTTAAAATATTTAAAATGATTAATTTTTAATTTTTTAAATTTTTGCTTTATTATTGTTATACAAGATTTTGTAATCTAACTAGCTAACTATATTAATCTGCATTATAACAACTTGCTATATTTGATAAAATTTTTGAAATAATATATAATTAAGTAAATTTTATTAATTATAAATATAATTAAATTATTAGAATGTAAGTATAAAATTATTTTACAAATTTGAAATAATAGATAATTGTTAATTTTAATATATTAATTAAATAAATTTTGTCTAATTAATTATAAATAATTAAATTATTAGGCAGTAAGTTTTAAATTTTAATAAGTTTGAAATAACAAATATAATTAAAAGAATTATCTAATTAATTACTTATAAATAATTAAATTATTAGAATGTAAGTATAAAATTTTTTACAAATTTCAATAAAAAATTTGAAATAATATTAAGTTAAATAAAATTTTCTAATAAATAATTAAATTTATTAGGCCGTAAGTATAATATTGAAATAACAAATTTGAAATAATATATTAAATTAAATAAAATTTTCAATTAATTAATTATAAATAATTAAATTTATTAGACAGTAAGTATAATATTAAAATAATAAAATTAAAATAATATATTAAATTTACTTATCTTCAAATATATATTTCTAGTTGATCTTTAATACAAAAGTGCAATATTTCAATTCATAAAATTGCAATAATATAACTATATTATGTAAGTATATTTTTATAGTAAGATTTAATTTATACAAAAATATTAAATTGTTAATTTTATTTGCAATAGCAAAAATTGTTTATATTTTTAACTATATATATATTTTTAATTATTATAAGTTTATGAAATAAATATAGTTGATAAATTTAATACTTTATTTTATTATTCATAGTTTTATATAACAATTTTTTATAATAATTCTATATTTTGATTAAACAGGCCTTACTTTAATCAATAAATATTATAAAGTAAAATTTTAATTAAAATACTTAATATAAAGCTTATATTATAATCGGAACATATGCTCAGATAAATATAGTAGGCTTTCATTATAATTGGCCAATTTTGTATAATATCTAGTGATTTAGAAAAATTTTATTAATTAATCAAAATTAATCAAAGCCTAAACTTTAAATTATTATAAAAAACCAATATATATAAAAATAGTCTTTATTACAAAATCTTGATAAAATAACCGAATATACGATGATTTTCCAATACTCTGAACATGAAAACCTCCACGATTACTTAGAAAATAATTTTTATATATTACTTGGGAAATCGAATTATATCTATTATCAGACACATCAAAGATTTAAATTATATATAATGGTCTGAGAAATAAAAATAATTACAAACAAGGGTTCAAAGTGAAAATTGAAAATAATCATATAAGGGCCCAAATTTTGAAAATATTATAATCAAAAGTCCAAATTTATTATAACTAATTAGATCGCAGGTTTTTAATATTTAAAATTAATTTACTTTTGACAGTAAAACGTATTACTTTTTGTATTTATTCTCTTATCGTCTTGCATGTGAAAATTATGACTACTTTTGCCAATTTTTGAAAGTGATTTAACTTTTCTACGAATATAAATGGGTTTTTACAGCTTTAAATAACTTCGATTAATGTGTAGTAACCTTCACAAATACGATTCACTAGTTTGAGTATAGGATAGACATATTAGATTATTTTGGCAATTACTGTAATTGGTTTTGAGTCCTTATTAGTAATTATTAAATTTATTCACAATGCAGTTTATATCCACGGTGATTTTTACAGTGGTAATATATTACAGAAATAACGTAATAAAAGGAATTAGAAGAATAAAACTTTATATTTCAGATCTTAGTTTAACGAAAAAAAAGCGACAAAAATGATTTTGAATGTATTTACGGTGTCTAGCATAAATTGCGTTAACTCGAACTTCTGACATCTATGGTTTCAGGATCATTATGACTGGGACATCGACCTTCCGATGGTCTCACATTAGACACTGATATCATACTAGACATATGCAAAGGATTGCGGCCTTAATTCGCTCCTGAAATTCCAGAATGTTATGTAAAATTAGCGACGCATTGCATGGATCCTGACATAAAAAAACGACCTAACATTACATATATATGTCTCAAAAAAAAAATTTGATAAATGGAATAAAATATACAGCGATATAATTAAACAATATGACCAAATTTATCATTTGCCAATAAAATTACCAATTATACCCAAACATCCAGATTACATATACACCTTAAAGCGCATCAACTCGTGTGAAATAACAAAAAAGTTCAAAACTTAAAGATCATCCAAGTATTTAAACCAAGTTGTGAGATTGATTTTAAGATTTTTAATGATGTGTGATTTTCTTTAACGCGAACCCATGGGGCTGCGAAATCATGTGATAGTATTACATAATGAATATTTTAAAATTTTTTGGATATACAGCATGCTTGTGTATGGACGTGCGTGCATCTATGTACCCAAAAACCGGGTTGAAATCCTGTATCCAGCCAATCAACATCAATTATGTAGATACTACACGAACGATCATTAAAATTAAAAAAAAAAATCGTTTATTTCAAAAATCGTCTGTATCTCGAAATTTTGCATATGAAATTATCTTTTGCGTTATAACAAAAAAAATTCCTTTCAAAATTTTGGCATGTTTTTCTAAAACCCTACCCTATTTTTGACCCTTCCCCTAATTTTAATTAACGTTAATCTTTAAAAAATATCAACAACAATGATCATTTCTATTTTGGGTGGGTACATAGATTCACTCATATGGACGTACATACGTACGTACAGTACGTACTTACGAGAATAGCGCACAAATAGGTATGCATACAGTTATTTCTTGAAGCCAACCCCATAGTAAGACTTTCGTATGATTGGCTGTTTAAATCAAATTAATTTTACATTATTTATACAGTTTAAAGTACTTTTTAAAAAAAATCAAACTACGAAGAATAAAAAAAAAAAGAAGTATATAGAAAGTTTTATTAGGGCTGTAGGAGTCCAGTATTAAAAATAATCAAAATCATTTCTGGTTTTAGAGAAGTTAGCATGGTAATGACCTAATTATATCTATCTTTAAGAAGTCGCTATTATGCTAACTTCTCCAAAACCAGAAATGATTTTGATTATTTTTTAATATTGGAGTACTACAACCTAATAAAACCTTCTAAATACTTCTTTTTTGTTTATTCTTCGCAGCTTGATTTTTTTTAAAAAGTACTTTAAACTGTATAAATAATGTAAAATTAATTTGATTTAAACAGCCAATCATACGAAAGTCTTCCTATGAAAGCCAACCTGTTTTTCAGCCCGCTTATTTTAAACCCAATATACTGAAATAATGATGCGCAATTAATTATGCGTCAGATCAACGTGGTGCCTCGCAAATCAGATGACTTGTGATTGTAAAATTATGATTACATACCAAATATAAAAAATATGTAAATATTAATTTCGCCTTAAAAGCTAAAAAAAAAAACCTATAGCTATAATACAGTATCGTATTAACACTTGATCTCACTTGATCTTAAACTTTTATATGAAAGTTAATATCCAAAAAATAATTTAATATTTTAATTGGCTTTGATTATAAAAATTTCAGCACGTTTTTTATGTTAAAAATTTCTATTGCAAAAGAATATAAAAATTCGTGTAATAGTAATTTGTTAGTATAAAATCAAACCACTTTTTATCATGCTGACGTGTACAGAAGTACTTGATCACCTATTTTGAACTTGATAAGTTTTATGTAAAGGTTATAATATTCTTTTTGCCTCTTGAATATTACAGCAGAGACCGTTAATGTTATACATATATTAAAACTGGTGAAAGATTATATCCATCACAATTGAATCCAACATAAATAATTTAATCTGTGATTGATCACAGGCGAGAGGGATTCACTTTGGATCGGGCACTGTCTCTGCTGTACTTGAATATTTGTCGGGCTTGGAGTCTGTTTGTACAATTGTTTTGTAATCTTATTAATCTATATTTCCAATACTGTTCTAACTCTGCTTCCAGAGTTCTTTCTTTTCTTGCAGTTGTAGATCTAAAGGTAATGTAGCCTGATGTTGTGCATGAGATAAAATGGGTACTATATGCAGTGCTGTATTACTTTCAGGTTTTTCTTCTGCAGCATTCATACAACCTTATTGTCATGGCGATTTTATCCATTTTATTTTGTAAAAAAAATTTACAGTACTGTAACATTTGGTATCTTGGCAGAAATATTTTAAAATTCTTGATTGGTTAATTGATATAGATTTTCCAAATAAGGAGATTTGAAAAACGACACTCATAAAATTTTATACTGTATAAAGGAAATGGCTTAAATAATGTAACACATAATTATTCAATAAAGACAGAGGCCAGGCTTCACTCAAAAAAACAAAAAAAAAAAAGGAAATGGCTAAAGCCCGTTTCCGGTTTTTTGATGTATTGGTTTATAAAAATATCAGAAATACGATTTATGCAGATCAAACGGCCTTTTTATAAGGTTTACAAGAATGTAGATCTGCATTCAATCCGATTCAAGATTTTATTTACGAACGCAAACTTGAATATTTCATTAGCATCACGTAGAATTCTAACTTGCTTGGCGTAACCTTTTATATCATTGCAAATAACGATAAGTGATGACTAAACTTCAAAGGGAACCTGTTTCGCAATGAAAAATTAATATTTCTGTTGTAACAAAGAAAATTCTAACCCTAATTTTAAAGATATATTTGTCATTATTCAGTGAAAATAGTAGTGAAATTAGCGATAGGCGTTCCCTTTTTAAATTTGTAATTCTTATTTCGCATAAATTGAGCACAAAAAATTCATTATAAAAATGAATCCTTAAATCTTTAATTCTAACCAACGTACGTACGTACAAAGTACACATAAAAAAAAATTAAAGATGCCTATTCAAAACATTATTGAATCCATTAAATCTGCTAATACTATGGAATTAGTCATTTTATTCTTTGCTACTTGTATCTCTACTTATATTTTTAACTTTTATTACAAATACTAT